TTGGTTTGGTTAAAATGAAATCGATATCAAGATTCAAAATATAAGTCTCATAAATCTGTCATTTCATGATTAATGTACTGAAAGTATACCAAACATTAAATAAGTCTATTTGTACAGGAGCTTTCTGTGAAGTTAATGAATCACATTTCTAAAAGAAAGACCTGTGAAAAAGTCAAAGAGTTGAGACACATCTAATAAATGGAAGGCACTCGATTTTAGGTCCAATTTACAAACAATGAGATATTATTTACTACTTTATAATATGTTACTTCTATAAGCGTAAATATAATATAGCATCGTGTCAAAGTTGTCTTTTACCGATGGGTTACGCTTATTACGACGGAAAATCTTTATCGTAGCTTTATCTAACTACTTTGTCCACAGAAATCTACAGGTGGCGACCTGGTGACCTAAGATACAGGGTTTCCTAGTTTAGGCACCAGTTTTTCATCTATCAATAGTTGTTTCAAATGTAAGCATATATTGTTGCTTGCTTATTGCTCATTGTTGCTATCTTTATATTGTATATTGTTGTCGGAAAGATATTTTTTTAAAAATTGACTTATTAACGATAAGTAACATAACTATGTCATTACCATTCATTTTATATATTTATTCATTACACATATTTATTCCTATTCATAGTTTCTTAACAGAGCTAATTTTAGTAAGTTAAGTTGGTTAATCCTACTATTTATATACCTTATATTTGACGTGGTATAACCAAGCTCCATATACGCACCATAATATATTACGCATTATGGGTGCAGTACGAATGGATCGTCTCGACGGTAGAAGAACCACGCTCAGTGGCAGATTATCCTGAAGGAAAAATAGGCACGTGCACTAGGGACGCGCGACCAAAAAAAAAGCACGCGCTAAAATTGGACGAAAAAAACTACTTCTTCATCTACTTGATTACTTCTACTTGATTTGTATGGTGTGTGTAGAGAACTGGAGACCTTTCTTTACTGGAAACAGAAACAGAAACAGAAACTTTTTTATTCAATGTAGATTATAAACAATACTTATTGAAAGTAAATTTTTTCATTTACCACTGGTTCGCAAAAAAACCTCTGTCATGGGAAGAACCAGCAAGAAACCCAGCGGGACTATTTTATTTTTTTCAAATAATAGCTTACAATCATGTTTACAATTAACAACACAAGACAAATTAGAAATAGCTTGGTAGCGATCACCCTTCCCAGGGGTTATTATCATCCATAAATTCCTTAATATTATAATAACCCTTTTTATACAAACTTAGTTTAATAAAATTTTTGAACTTTGCGTGTGACAAATTTTGTATATTTTCTGGGATTTTGTTGTAAAAGCGTATACATCGCCCCAAGAATGAATTACTACTTGAAGGTACTACTAGCTTGGAAATGAGGCATTCCATCTTAGTCCTCATGGGTGATAACGCATCTGCATTTATATTCATAATCGAATATAGATGTAGATGTCTATGAGCCACAGCAATCACTTCCATCATGTGCACTGTGTCATCACCTTTATCCTATAAAATAGTCAAACCAATGCATTTTCTGTTTCTAATCAACACGACCGAACGTGTGAGATTGGAAACAGAACCAACGGTTTTACGTGCTCTCCAAAAAACGGAGGTTTAATACCGCCTTACCACGGAAATCTTGACTCCTGTTACTGAGGATTTCATCTCAGAAAAACCCAATTACTGATTTTGACCCGATTCAGGATTCGCACCCGGGACCACACGATCAGGAATCACGCTTACCACTACTAGACCAAAGGCATTCAATTTGGGATATACGCCTGAGAATATCAACTTAAACATCGATGTGCTTTTTTGCTATTAACTTTGTTACAGGCAGACTTTATCTTATCCCTCAAACAGGTGATCTCAAATCCAGTGTGCGGCAGACTTACGATATTTCAATAAGCTTGACATTTTTTTTTTTAGTAAGTCCCCTATACCTGAGGTACATGAAATAGTGACTCTAGTTTGCCTGGCGGTTAAAATCTCTATACTTACTTACTGAAAAAACTTCTATCTTTACACTTACTAAATTAAGTATGCCTGTAAAAACTTAATAGCAAAAAAGCACACCGATGTATAATTTATAATTCTGAGATGCTCAGGCGGGGAAGGTGTAAAAAATGACCGAAAAAACGTGAAAATAATAAATCTGCCGCTTTGAGAACTTGAAATATTCAATATAAGTTACCAAAAAATACATTGACTTACCTATGGCAGTTTCAAGGTCATGGCAGAGAGGTTGACAAGTACAATTTTTGAATTTATATATGTTGTTGAATATATTATTTGACTTATATATTTTACATGGCAGACATATATTGAGGTTCTATCACCCATGTAGAAAACTAACTTCAGTTATGTCCATAAGCGCGTACGCTCGCTTTAATCAAGTGTTTTTATACTTTTGTTTAGTGGAAGGGTCCATGCCTGAGTTTTATTTTACTCATAATAAAAGAACATCTGTCCTTGGTAATGGTTATATCACATATTTTTATGTATTTCCGTATTTTGCTAGAGAAGCGAGGCATCCCTGGTATTTTCTTAAGTAGGCAGTACATCAGTAAATGTAATTCCTATAAATATGGGTCGTTTATGTTTTTTTTTGTAACAAAATATAAAGAAAAACATCGACCTAAACAATTCGTTATGCACATTCTACTAAACTACTGTTTAAGCTACTGGACTCAAATGGATACGGTATTGACATATATATGTTCTTCCTCTTTAACTAATTCGTCATAAAAATATAAATATAAAGAATGCTACAAGGCGTACCAGGGATTCCCGAAGTGGTCATTATCGACCCCTTGGGGTCGAAATCGGTTTCCGGGGGTCGACATAAACGAAAACTGATAATTTTTAACTTTAATTTGTATTAATAATTATTAATTACACTTGATATTTACTGAATTTTATGGCTATTTATTTTGTTAAATTTTGATGATAATATGGTGTTAAGTTTACTCACTTAACCAACCGCAAGTATTTAAATTGGTAATTATTTTATATTCATAAAAAAACTAGAGATAGGACTTTTAAAGTAATTTAGCTATGGGAGTCTGAGGTATCAGTTCATTTTGGAAAAGGATCTTTTGCCCAAAATAGTTTGGGGATCCCTGGTACAAACAATAATGAACTCTTAAGATGACTATAATAAAGAATAAATAAATTAAGCCAACTATTTATTTAATTCTTTTAAGGTTACCGTATTTATGTCCTCGTGATGAACGTCTTAATGGGGGGGGGGATTTTACATAAGTGGAAATTAATGTTTATTTGGTTATAATACTTGAAATTTAATATTTATTTAAAAAATCTAGTCATTATCACCGCTAAAAATCAATATATTAAGATGACCTTGAAGATTCTACAACCATTAGATACGAAATAGTACATGCTAGAGACACACTGCAGTGAATCGACTCAACCTGGGAAAGACCACGTAAGCACAGAAAACCTGCGTGGTAGACAAGCACCCAGGTCACCTGATGATTAATGGATGCTATGGCCCTTAGACACCTACATCTAAGTGAACAGAGTAATTCGCAAACCACATGAAGTAAGAAACATGAGTAGTTCGCAAAAAACACCTCTGTCCTGGGAAGAAACAGCAAGAAACCCAGCGGGATTATTTTTTTTTTTTCAAATAATAGCTTACAATCATGTACGTTACAACTAACACAAAACAAATTAGAAATAGCTTTGTAGCGATCACCCTTCCCAGGGGTTATTATTATCCATAAACTCCTTAATATTATAATAACCCTTTTTATACAAACTTAGTTTAATAAAGTTTTTGAATTTTGTGTATGTCAAATTTTGTATATTTTCTGGGATTTCGTTGTAAAAGCGTATACATCGCCCCAAGAGTGAATTACTGACTCGGTGGAGTCGAGTAACTGGTACTACTAGCTTGTGTCCTAGTATTTACAGAATGAATATCACTTAATTTTGCAAAACTACTTTTATTTTTGTGTACGTACATTACATTTTCATACATGTATTGAGAGGTCAGAGTTTTTACATTAATTTCCTTAAATTTTCGCGAGTCCCCATAGCAAAATACCATACGACATAATGCTATGGAAATAGCTAAAGTAAACTTTTCTAGCTGTTTCAAGACTGGTAAGAGTCCATTAAATATCGAAATGCCATTAGGGACTGCGATGGAACACCTCGTTGTAAAGGTCTCCGATCCTCGTCACTGGCCATACGAAACACAGCAGCAGGTCCCTTCCTGGTCGAGCCATTTGTGCTTAACCCATAACACAGCTGCGTTATGAAATTAATATGAATAAAAACAAAATTTACGGTTACGTGGCGCAGTGGCTTAACAATGAATTGCAGTGCTGGGTGCTGCGGATTCTAATCTCGCAAACAGGAATGTATATTATACTGTTACCGTTACAGCCTATTAAGCTCCATTGCTGAACTTGCTCCATAGATTGCCTCATACGGAGGATATTTGTTATAGTTGTCAGCACACGCAGTTTTTTATTATGAAGACGCTGCTGCCCGTCTCCTGATTTGTTTCCGTGTTGTTTGTATGACCCACAAATATTTATTCTGGGTCTGGCCGTCCGTTTGGCAGTTTACAAACATAAATTACACAGTTTACATACATAAACTAATGAGTTTATGTGTGTAAACTGCTACAACGATACAGGAATAATTTCAGAAAAATTAATAAAATAAAATAAAAATGCAATTTAACGCGTTAAATATTAATATAAGAGAGAGAGAGAACTTTGAGAACTTTTTGCGTAACACTTTATGATATTTGGGCCTCGTTTTATCTATATTACAAGAACAAAGATAAGAAGGTTATAGTGTACTGACCTTCCAAATTTAACAAAATAAGCGTATTTTAATAACAAAATTATTGACAGTAAGACGCGAGTGTTTACGTTAGCTAAATTTTTACCAATAATTCTATAAGAGTTCTTTTTACGCTGTTAAAATGTGGTTAAAAATTGCAACGATGTTTTTCTTCTGCTGCAACAGCATTGTGAGTTACTTTTGATAGATATTAATGTTATAATTATGTGCTCCATGTAGTATCAGGTATAGACAACTTATATTCCAGGAGGTTTAGCTAATATGACATTCTACGTTAAAATTACACTATGTCAATAGCTAGATTATAGAATCGTTTTTATACGTGGTAGAGCCATGCTGCAGTTATATTAGTAGTATGGTTGTAGCACGAATGGGTCGGCTCGACCGGGGAAGGACCACGCTTACAGTGTGAATAGTATTAATGTGTGTATTTCGTATGGTGAGTGTAGAAAACCGGAGACCCTTTTTACTGGAAACGAGGCATTCTATCTCAGTCCTCACGGGTGACAACGCATCTGCATATTGATTTTTAATGGAGGATAGATGTAGATGTCTATGGGCCGCAGCAACCACTTACCATCAGGTGGACTGTGTGCTCGTTTGTCACCCTATTCTATAAAAAAAAATCGTCACAAATCAACGCTGTGCCAAGTGACTGTCACATGACTTAATGTTCACATAAGTCATTCCCATTCATTTTTATAGTTTCTAAAGTGTACCTGTTCTTCAGAGTAGCACAAGGAAATGAATTTCTCCTTAGGATGGTAACAAGTACAATTCTGATACAATAACAATGGAATTAGTTTTTGTGCCTGTCCCAATTTTTAGCTCGTATGTTTACATACACTAAGGGTGACAGACAAGCACACAATCCACCTGATGGTTAGTGGATGTAGTAGCCTATAGACATTTACATTTACCCCCAATTTTTTAAATGTAAATGTATTGTGATACCTGAGAACTAAGACCGAATGATTCGTTTCCAGTGAAAAAGGTCTCCGATTCTCTACACTCAACATATGAAACACAGCAACATCAAGCTGCTATTTTACGCTGGTATTTTTTGAAAGCGTAGTCCTACCCCAGCCGAGCGAAATCTATCGAGTTACAACCGTAATATAGCTGCAGCTTGGCTCTACCACGTTTTTTTAACGTTACCACTAGGATTCTTTTCATGTATCACGGAGGCAGTTTACATAAATTGCACAAAAACAAACATCTAAACCCGGAACAATTTGCATGCCTTACAAATACTTATTCCGCCGCCCTCAGCGGAGTGTTCAATAAAGTAATAACGAAAGTATAAGAATTTATATATTTAAATTGATTTTGAAGCTTAGATTCTATTTTTATAGACTGTAGTGACCAACGAACTCCAGTCTATCTGATGGTAAGTGGATACTGCAGGCCGTAGACAGCTGCAGCCAACTTCACACGAATGAGTCTACAGATGAGTTGTCCCTTTTGAGGAATAATACTGGTTCTACTCCCTTTACACCAGAACTTAGCAGCGCAAGCAGTAATATATGGACACTACATTGGAATGGCTTAACCAATTGTGACGAAACTGTTTCTATCATTGCACGAAATTCCAGCTTCTCAAAATAAGCACTCTGAATGAGTTGATAATTGATGTTTCCAGTTGTTGTGTTGCCGAAAAGTACTCTGTGGTTGTTGATATGATCTGCAAACTTCGTATAATCGTCGGCGTCATTTGGTCGATTCACTATGGCGGGAACACAAAGCGCGCACTCAACGAACGAATCGCGCTCTTAGCTCTTACTATTTTACTGGCTCGCTTGATACGTTCATGTACTGCCAGCCCAAACTCGAGTTAGGGAGATCCAACTCGAGTTAACCGTAACTCGAGTTGCCTCGAGTTAGTAACTCGAGTTGGCCCATCGCTAGTCTGTCTGTGTCCGGGATAATCTTCGGAATGGCTAAACTTACCTAACCTGTAATGAAACTTTACGAACAGGTAGAGAGCAGTGCCAAGACTAATCTAGACTTTACCTACTATAAATATTTCACCTGAAAAACATGAAAATATGTTTTGGTAAAACGAAAAGTTGATATAATTAATGGGATTTGATTATCTTCAATATAAATAACGCAACATTAATATATCATATAGAGGTGAAGCCGGGAGGATTGCTAGTAGTAAAATATATTTTTAAAAAATCGCGCTGGGCTTCTTGTTCGTTATTCCCAGGACTGAGTTTTTTTCGAAAATTTGTTATTAAAATTATTTTTTTTTACTTTTACTACTGTAAAAGTAAAAATATAATTTTAATAAGAATTACTTGTAAATCTTTATTGAATTCTATTCTATTGGATTTTGTTACATCTAAAGAAATTTCGACTTTTGAACTGGCTTATCTAAAGAATGTATGTCATAAAAGGGCGACATTTTAGATCAATCGCCCCTTTCAAATAGCTTAAAGCGCCTTCTGTGTAAGAATAAAACAAATTTCGATTGTACAATAGTGTAATGAATGGCCCAATTCATTGCTGTTTCATAATAAAGGAGCTGCTTTTATGTAATATTTCCGTTTATTGATCTTTCGGATTGGTTAATATCGAAGTATAGTTTGAAAATTGTTAATTTGTAATATATATATATGTATATATATATATATATATATATATATATATATATATATATATATATATATATATATATATGAGATATTATGGTTGTAGCACGAGTGGATCGGCTTGACCGGGGAAGGACCACGCACTTACAGAATACCAGCTTAATACTGCTGTGTTTCGTATGGTGAGTGTAGAGATCCGGAGACTCTTTTTTACTGGATACTAGGCATTACCAACTTAGTATTCGGGGGGTAACAACGCATCTGCGTTTTGATTCTTAATCGAGGATAAATGTAGATGTCTATGGGCCACAGCATCCACTTGCCACCAGGTGGACTGTATTCTCGTTTGTCACCCTTATTCTATAAAAAAAAGAAAAAAATTGCAGCTCAATGCTGCTGCGTTTCGTATGGTAAGAGTAAACTATAGAGCATTTTAACTTACTCCTTAGGGATGACAACGCATCCATTCTTACCCGTGCACGCAGTCTTCATTGAGGATAGATGTAGGTATCTTTAAGCTACACAGTACCACTATACACTACAACAGTACACTAACCATGAGGCGGATTGTATGTTTCTTTTTCACTCTACTTATATAAAAAAAATTGTAATATATGACCTTAAAGTAAAACGACTTTGCAATAAAGGAGAAATTCCTAGTTTAGTAGCGTTATACTCTTTTAAAAAATTAAGCAAAAGGTCATAATGACACAATCCGTATAATATATTATAATGAAGATGGATGTGTGAGTATAGTCTAAGTGTGTGTGAATAGTCGACTTTACTATCGATTGCCAATTGTCTAGATGCAAATTTGTTTTTATATTTTTTTGAGAAAACAATTACAGAACTGATTATAATGATCAGTTATTCCTTGTGCAATTGAACGTCGATTTAATTTTTTTTCAGCTGATTTCAAGAAAAGGAGGAGTTTCTCAATTTAGAACTTACATTTGAACTGTATTTTTATGCATATTACCACAAAACTTTTTTGTGTGAGAATCGGTTTTAATGATTCTTTTTTTTTATTTGAAAGCTGGTGCTTCTTTTGTGGTCCCATATAAACTTGATCAAGATCTGACCCGTAGTTTTTGAGTTATCCTTAATAATGGGTCTTCAATTGACTTCGACTACATTGATGATGTTCTCATTTTATTGATATTGAAGTAGGTTGTACAAAATTTTTAATTTTACCACTTGTAATATGATTTTACAGAACTAAACATTATTCATTGTACGTTTTGTAATGTACAAACGTGCGCACATACACACAAATATGCTCTATAAAGAAGTGGCCCAATTTTCAATGTATCCCTGTTAATATTCTATCATGGATAGATTAAAAGCCCATAGAATCATGGGCCTTGAATTGTTCTGTTTACCTCGTACGTACGACTCGCCTACTCTCGGTAAGTAGTTTTTGCAGAACATGGTCACTAACAACCAACTTCAATCAATTAGACACAGACTGGTTAGATACAGATTACAAAATATAAAAATCAATGGATCACAAATCGTGGAGAATTCTTTTGATTATACTTACAAATATCAGGCTCGTTACAATAACTCTAAAGTAAAAAATGTATACTAAAAACAAAAACAATTCTTAATGTTTGCCTCTCTTGGGGTGTGAACTGTATACATCTATTTGCAAAGGTGATGTATCCGGGAATTCAGATGTAGAGAAACTAATATAATATTTATAGTTTACATAGGCATTTTATGGCATTACAAGGGAAAGGCCTGTGTATATCAGTGGACTTGTAAAGGTCTGTAGACAATGATACTGGAATAGATAAAGTTCACAAATTTGTGATCGCTCAGGGAAAATTAGTTTTGAGTGAACGAATAATCCAAGGTAAGATCTGATATAATCCAATGATTAGGGGCACGAATCACGTACCTAAAGGCTTGAGTTCGAATCCCCCATTCATATATTGTTGTGAACCACAAGTAGTGTAAAGACACTACTTCTTTTCTACTTCACGAAAGGGAAACTACTACTGAACAGCAGTACTAATTAATGAAAAGTAATGAAAAGAAATCTATGCTTTACTATAGAAAGTACTTCCTTTCTACTTTTAAGTTTTCATACGTTACTTTTTTGTCATATAATTACTTCTCGCCAATATACTAGTAATCCAAATATACACACTCCAATTTAAACTTATCTGACATTCGGTTAGAAAATTGATAACCTTATCATTGTAAGTAGCAGTGGAAATTGTATATCTATGTTGTTTCAGAACAAACGAATAGAGTCCTCGGCTTGTTTTTTCGTCAAATATTTGATTTCCGGTTTCATTTACATAATAACGCTTTATTCAAATGATAGCAAAATGATTTCTGTATTATATCGTGCGGTGACTGTGAAAAAATAATGTTTTCATTTTATTTTTATTTTTTTTTTAAATTTGATCCTATAGGTGTCATCATATTTTGTGATATTCTAGAAAGATGCCATGACTTCCAATGGGTGGTGGTAAAGCTACACGATTAATTTAGACTTAAAGTATCCAGATTGGCAACGTGGTGAAAAGGGTAGCGGTCAAGGCAACCTATATCAGATCACATCATATCCCATTATGTCTTATTATGTGCTGATAGCGTAAAGAGTGAAGATAATCCATCACCCCATTGATTCCAAAGAGTCAACCGAAAAGAAACGCCAGAAAATCTTATAGATTCTAATGGATGCCGGTATAACCATCTCGTTTATTCATGACGTAAAATACCCAGACCAACGTTGGGGAGCAATCTGGTCCTGCGATCATAAGCTTGCCTTCCAAGCATTGCGACTATTACAAGTTTCTCCCTACAATTGGATCATCTCATGACCAGTACTTTAATTTTCGAGCTGATAAAAAGCTATGAGCTCTTTTCAAGAGATGCGGCTGTGTATTCTGACTCTGTATGCGAGCATTATCTTTTTTTATATAGAATAGAATGAGGGTGATAAACGAAGACACAGCCCATCTGATAATAAAGGCTGGGCCCAAAACCTCTGCATCTATTCTCGATTGAGAATCAAAATGCAGAAGCGTTGTCTCTAGTTCCAGTAAAAAGGATTTCCATTTCTCTACTCTCGTCATACGAAACAAAGCAGCATTAAAAATTTTTTTTCAATCTGGTATTCTGTAAAAACTTGATCCTTTCCCGGCTGAACCAATCCATTTGGGCTTCAACTATAATATAGCTGTATAATATAACAGCAGTATGGCTCTACTACGTTGTTTTTTTTAACAGTATAGCCACCTCATTTTCTAATTTGAGTATGGCAATACAAACTTAGTAATAAATCACACTCATCCATATTTTATGTTTTAGCTGACAACGTCCATCGATGTTGGCGGTGTGATATCAGGGAACCGCATGGCAGGTGTGCCTTTGGGGCGCTCTCTCGGCGATGGGGAGTTGGATGTGGAAGGAATATGCGCAGAGTCCGGCATGACATGTCAGAACTGCACGCACGCAGTCACCTGTATACCCTTACCCTATGGCTTCTTAAAGGTAATTTTTAATTTCTTAAAATAATATTATTATGGTAATTATAGTTTGTCATAGTGGCGGAGCAAGATTATTGGCTACGTCATATCATCCCGTGGGTGTAGTGAGAGGCAACAGAGGAAAACAAATTAGGAGATGAGCAGCACCGTCTACTAATAAAGATAATTGATAGAACCATGCTTTACTTTGCGGAAATCCATTATAATAAAGATATTAATTAATTTGCAACCTTCCGCTAACTAAATACAACGATGTGTCCTACCTGGATTGAAGAGCACCTCCCGCCCTCCCTCAATTGCGTGCACCAATCTCGTCACCACTAATCTCAGCACCACCACTCCCAACACCACTACTCCTGGCACCACTACTCCCAACACCAATATTCCAGGAAAGACACACCATCGACCATAGTGCAAATTATTAGTATTATAAGTTATTATAAGTTGGTTGGCAACCGCAGTTTTCTTTTTTTTTTTGATAATTTTGAGTTGTTAATAGAAAAATGCAGCTACCCATCCTCTTTTTCAGATTCCCTATGTCGTCTTTTACCACACCCACGGGACGATATGGGGTAGTGGATATTCTTACACTATTAATTAGTGGAAAAACAACATAACATGTAACAGTGTGTACTTTAAGGCATATCATTTGAAAATATTCTAATCAATTTATCCGCGGATAAATTAAAAATTATGTGTCATACCTAGTTTTAGAAGCACCTACCTCTTTCCCTAAATAACGTGCAATGGCACCGCCACCACTCATCAAATGCCATAGATTTCTGCAAAGTAACGCTTCTTTTCATGTTATCTTAATTTGATTATTAGTCTTATCAAATTTTGCAGGTCCCTTTACAAGTATGCTCCAATGGACTAACTTGCAATGCTCACCTTCGAGGTTGTTCCAGCCAAGCGGTACCTGAGTGTGAGCCCGTCACTCAAAAGCATCAACACTCTTGTGAACAGGTATGCACTAAGATCCGACCACCCTTGTCTTGAAACGGTTACATTAAAATATCTAAAATGTTTTGTTGGTAATAATATAAGAGTTTAAAAAAAAACTTAAACAACAACCATTGAGCATGACCTGTGATGAATCAGAATACTCGGAAAAAGTTACTAACTAATACTATTGTATTATCATTGGTCCTTGATACGAGTGCAAATTTTCAAGTCAATCAGCCGTATACAAGTTGGTGAAAATTACATTAATAGATTCTGTCACATATTTATACAAGGTATATAGACAGTGGCGGCGCAAAACCTAAATTTTATGTGGGCAAGATTACATTTTGCGAGGCCTTCTGCCTAACAATTTCAAAGAAAAATGAAGAAATAGATATTCTACTTTTTATCCTGCAGAATTGTTTAATTGTAGTCTCATAATCCAACTTGGATGCTATATCTGCGTCGATAGATAAAAGTTTCAACGCTGAAAGTCTTTTCTGTAATATTGCATTCCTGAGATAATTTTTAATGAGTACTAATTTTAAGAATCTTCCTTCAGCGGGGGCTGTACTGATCGGTATTGTTAAATGACGATGTAAATGTTTGGGTAAGTATATTTTTTTAAATTATTTTCTGTAACTTATTGGAGAAGCTGTTTCACATCTGTTACGAAGTTAGGTAAATTAGGGATCATTAATTGTAATTCTTCATATAATTCGTAAGGTTGAAAGTCACTGCTTTCACCCACTCGCAGGGCTGTGTGTAAATCTTGACAGTTATTTTTATATTATAAGGTTTGGAATATTTTTTAACTTGTTTAAATCATAAAGGAAACCAAAATTTTCATAATGTGGGTTTAAAGCCATAAATCTCAAATCCAAATTAGTTATAATTGAACGAGCATGGTGTTGAAAATCTGTTTAATACCGAATTTTAGGAGACTACAGGTTAATCCTTGCCTTCATAATCCAACACCTTTTCCTTTTTGGCTACTCTTTTTATTTTTAAAGTCTTTTGGCAGATCATAACAGTTTTTTTCAATAAACTAATACCAGACAAGTATTTTTCGAAACAAGTTTGTCGATATTCTTCAATCTAGTCACAAAATGTACGCAAACGTTCTAGAGCTTTAATTTGTCTTCACCTATAGTGACAACCCTACCAAAATAGGTAACAATTTTGCAAGTTCTTAAGAAGCTTTTTGTCTGTTGTTTATCTACTCATGTGCGTACAGCGCGAAAATATACGTTCAACAACCATGTGGGCTGCTGTACCGCACTCTATACTCGATTGCCACGCGCCCACCATTAAATAAAATCAGTATTCTATGTCTAACAAACAGAACGGGGAATCCTCAGCTTTTGTCGCCCCCATAGATTATTGTGGGTATGTTCCGAAACGTTTTCAGTATACTGCCGAATACAAATGACGTCATCTGGTTGCGCGGAAAACCATTCGTATTTATTTATTTTGACGGTAGGCTGCCAAATCGCTTATCCCTTTCCAAAACGATATCATTCATACCCTACTATCGACACATCGGGGTGGTGGGGTGGGAGGGGAAAGAAGATGATTCTAGAATATCACGTAACCATCGCAACCGAAGGTATAAAAGGCACGCGCGACCGACGCGCAGCCTCTTCCCGCCGCGCTCGTGAAACCACACCGCTTCTCTCCCGACGTATCTCTGGGGCCCCAGAATCTGTCCAGAAGAAGTTCCAGAAGTCGCAGCTATATTGCCCAACATCATAGAAGACTCACCCCGGTGAGTGAATATTCCTAATAATATTGCCTGCTTGATATAATTGTGTTTTAACCCGCTCCAATTTTGTTTTCTCCTAATCAAGCAGGATTCCTTTCATCGATTTGGCAAATAATAGTTCGTTTTTAGGGAAGAGCGAGTGCATTGTACCGGATGCTATAGTCGCCGTTTATATAAGCGTAAAAGCATTTTGTAGATACAGTCCACTTAGATTAATAGCTCGCGTAATAGGTTTTAAGGTTCGACCGGGGAATTAGACTTCGGCAACCTTAGGCTCGACGCTCCACCATTTTATGGTCACTTCGGCAGGATTTGGACTGGTGTTTAGTAGTCGTTCAACCATTTTCTGGTCGAATTATTAAATTAATTATTTAGATAATGCACTCTAGTTTATGGAATAGTCTTAAATAGTGTTCGTTTAAATTTAAATTTTGGTTAGGTACTCGCAAACAGAATTATTCATTTAAATAGTGTTTGTATTTGGTTTAAGTTTAAAGCTTATTAGTCGCTTAAATAATTGAAACAGTGTAATCGCAACCGTTTGGTACGCTTACCCGACAATTTTGATAAAAATATTGAGTTTAGCGTGCGACACGCGTAACAGGTGTTCGATTTAATTACGTAATACGGCATACGAGTGTCCATTCTCCATTATTTGTGCATTGTGAGATTAATTGTGATTAATATAACTTTATTATAATAATTTAAAATGGCGGTTAGTGGAAATGAAATTAAAATTAAAACGCTTTATGCCAAGAGAGACATACTTTTTTCACGTATACAAAGTATTAATGATCACATAAAGAACATCAATGTAGAAGCAGCGCGGGAAACTTTTTTGAATGAAATTGAAACTGTGGATTCTTTGCGGACGGATTACGAAAGAATATTAGACCAAATTAATCATTTGAAATTACAAATCGACCCGAAATACATTGTGAACTACGAACCGCTTCTAGCATTTGAAGATATGTTGTGTCGCGTGAAAATAACGGCGAAACTCTTACAATCTCAAAACGAAGCAAAGCCGGAAATACAGGTACGTCCACGTGACTCAATTAGGTTGCCGCCAATAGATATTCCGGTATTCAATGGTGATATTAAGACATGGCCCTTCTTCTTCAGTAGTTTTCAAAACAATATACACAATAACCCATCGTTATCGGACGCTGAAAAATTATATTAATTAATTAGTAAACTTAGTGGCAGGGCACAGTCAATTTGCTCGGGTTTTACACCTACAGCAAACAATTACTTGTTAATTTTCGAAACGCTTAAAACTAAATATGAAGATAGGAGAATGTTAGCTTCCGAATATTTGAACCAGATATTCGATCTTAAACCTATATCATCCGCGAACATCAACGGCTTAGAGCAGTTTTTAGATACATTTGTGGCATTGGTGGCTGCACTTAAGAATTTGAAATTTAATGACCTTATGGACGTGGTGTTTCTCCATATTGCACTAAAGAAATTAGACCCCGACACCGTGCGTGCGTTTGAAATGGAGCATCGTAGCTCGGAGATGCCTTCCTTTCATTCATTAGCATCGTTAGTGCGAGATCAAATAAAGGTGATGCAGAGCTCTCCGAACGTTAAACAGGAGATTAAAAGGTGCGTCGACCGTAGACAGACTGAACCATCTAAAATAGCAGGGTCGTTAACTTACGTAACCGCTACGTTAGCATCACTTCAGCATGATTGCATCGTATGTAAAGATAAACACGATAATTTATATAATTGTGCGACTTTTCGTAAATATTCACCAAGCGAACGTTATAAATTAGTAAAGACAAACAACCTATGTCTGAACTGCTTAAGTGATAAGCATTTAGTTGCAAAATGCAATTCGAGTTCCGTATGTAGCAAGTGCGCCAGGAAACATCACACGCTATTACATTTTGAAAATAGCAACATAGCGGCGTCAAGTAAAGCGGACAAGGAATTCGCCCCTACTAAAGTCAACGATTCTAGCGGTCGACCTGGTGATGTCGCTCTGTGCTCATTGGCAAATATGGGAGCACAACCTCCTTCAACCGTGTTACTGGGTACGGCGCGTATTTTGGTTAGGGATTCGCGTGGAAACGAACAAAGCGTCCGTGCACTGCTGGACAGCGGAGCCCAAAATAGCTTTATAACGCGACAATGTTGTCAGCGCTTAGGCTTAGTAATAAATAGGTCACTTTCATGTCCTGTAGTCAAAGGCATCGGAGGTACTAGTAAAGCTACCCAGGGATATATACTCGTAAATTTAAAATTTTATTCTCGGATAGATCGTAACGTTAACTTTGATATAAATGCGCTAGTAGTAGATAGGGTCACTGAACGGTTGCCAACCGTTTCGGGTGACACCTCGGCAATGATTGAATTTAAAAATTTGATTCTAGTGGACGACACTTACGCCGTTCCTGGAAACAAAGACATGCTCATTGGAGCATCGCTTTTCCCTCATCTTTTGCTAAATAACAAGGTCAGGGGCAACTCCTCGCATACCGCGCCTTACGCACTGGAAACCGTATTGGGCTATGTCATCGTTGGCTCCGCCCCCATCATAGATGGTATTTCGGCAACCTCTTATTGTGGTATGGCTGTCGAACCGCTCGAGTCATTAGTCCGCAAATTTTGGGAGATGGAGGAGGTGAACGTCCCACCCATAGCTAGCTCAGATGACAGATTATGCGAGGAAATTTACGTCCGCACGACCGTTCGTGATCGCGACAGTAGATATAGTGTAGCGCTACCTTTTAAAGGAGATGTTTTATCTCTCGGCGATTCGCGTCAAATGGCGAAAAAACGTTTCTACAGCTTGGAGCGTAGGATGCTCGCTTCACCCCAGTTAAAAGAAGCTTATGACGGCTTCATTAACGAATATATAAGAGAAGGTTACATATCACTCGTGGCTTCGAAATTAGATAACTACGAAGACACACCGTCGTATTTCATACCACACCACGGGGTCATTAGGTAGGACAAACTTACATCTAAGTTACGTGTAGTGCTCGACGCTAGTGCTAAAACTAGCACTCACCTGTCGTTTAACGATATCCTCTATAGTGGGCAAAATTTACAGGGCAGTTTATTTAATACAATAGCTAATTTTCGTTTGTTTAGTGTAGCACTATCCGCCGATATTCGCCAAATGTTTCTTTGCATAGGGGTCCGTGAATGCGACCGTAGATTCCAACGCATTTTATATCGTTTCAACCCAAAGGAACCTCGAATGGTGTTTAAATTTAACCGCGTTTGTTTTGGTTTA